ATGTATAGGGCTCGTTAGTTTGACGTGTATAGGGCTCGTTAGTTTGACGTGTATAGGGCTCGTTAGTTTGACGTGTATAGGGCTCGTTAGTTTGACGTGTATAGGGATCGTTAGTTTGACGTGTATAGGGCTCGTTAGTTTGACGTGTATAGGGCTCGTTAGTTTGACGTGTATAGGGCTCGTTAGTTTGACGTGTATAGGGCTCGTTAGTTTGACGTGTATAGGGCTCGTTAGTTTGACGTGTATAGGGCTCGTTAGTTTGACGTGTATAGGGCTCGTTAGTTTGACGTGTATAGGGCTCGTTAGTTTGACGTGTATAGGGCTCGTTAGTTTGACGTGTATAGGGCTCGTTAGTTTGACGTGTATAGAGCTGGTTGGTTGGTTGGTTGGTCAGTTTGACGTGTATAGAGCTGGTTGGTTGGTTGGTTAGTTTAACGTGTATAGAGCTGGTTAGTTTTACGTGTATAGGGCTGGTCAGTTTTACGTGTATAGGGCGGGTCAGTTTTACGTGTATAGGGCGGGTCAGTTTTACGTGTATAGGGCTGGTTAGTTTTACGGATATAGGGTGGGTTTGTTGGTTGGTTGGTTGGTTTTATGTGTATGGAGCTGGTTAGTTTTCCGTGTATAGAGCTGGTTGGTTGGTTAGTTTAACGTGTATAGAGCTGGTTAGTTTTACGTGTATAGGGTGGGTTGGTTGGTTGGACGTGTATAGAGCTGGTTGGTTGGTTGGTTGGTTGGTTTTACGTGTATAGAGCTGGTTGGTTGGTTGGTTGGTTGGTTGGTTGGTTGGTTTTACGTGTATAGAGCTGGTTGGTTGGTTGGTTGGTTTGTTTTACGTGTATAGAGCTGGTTGGTTGGTTAGTTTTACGTGTATAGAGCTGGTTAGTTTTACGTGTATAGGGCTGGTCAGTTATACGTGTATAGGGCTGGTCAGTTATACGTGTATAGGGCTGGTCAGTTTGACGTGTATAGGGCTCGTTAGTTTGACGTGTATAGGGCTCGTTAGTTTGACGTGTATAGGGCTCGTTAGTTTGACGTGTATAGGGCTCGTTAGTTTGACGTGTATAGGGCTCGTTAGTTTTACGTGTATAGGGCGGGTCAGTTTTACGTGTATAGGGCGGGTCAGTTTTACGTGTATAGGGCTGGTTAGTTTTACGGATATAGGGTGGGTTTGTTGTTTGGTTGGTTTTATGTGTATGGAGCTGGTTAGTTTTACGTGTATAGAGCTGGTTGGTTGGTTAGTTTTACGTGTATAGAGCTGGTTAGTTTTACGTGTATAGGGTGGGTTGGTTGGTTGGACGTGTATAGAGCTGGTTGGTTGGTTGGTTGGTTTTACGTGTATAGAGCTGGTTGGTTGGTTGGTTGGTTGGTTGGTTTTACGTGTATAGGGCTGGTCAGTTTTACGTGTATAGGGCTGGTCAGTTTTACGTGTATAGGGCTGGTCAGTTTTACGTGTATAGGGCTGGTCAGTTTTACGTGTATAGGGCTGGTTACTTTTACGTGTATAGGGCTGGTTACTTTTACGTGTATAGGGCTGGTTAGTTTTACGTGTATAGGGCTGGTTAGTTTTACGTGTATAGGGCTGGTTAGTTTTACGTGTATAGGGCTGGTTAGTTTTACGTGTATAGGGCTGGTTAGTTTTGCGTGTATAGGGCTGGTTAGTTTTGCGTGTATAGGGCTGGTTAGTTTTACGGTTATAGGGTGGGTTTGTTGGTTGGTTGGTTGGTTTTATGTGTATGGAGCTGGTTAGTTTTACGTGTATAGGGCTCGTTAGTTTTACGTGTATAGGGCTGGTCAGTTTTACGTGTATAGGGCTGGTCAGTTTTACGTGTATAGGGCTGGTCAGTTTTACGTGTATAGGGCTGGTTAGTTTTGCGTGTATAGGGCTGGTTAGTTTTGCGTGTATAGTGCTGGTTAGTTTTACGGGTATAGGGTGGGTTTGTTGGTTGGTTGGTTGGTTTTATGTGTATGGAGCTGGTTAGTTTTACTTATATAGACCTGGTTGGTTGGTTAGTTTTATGTGTATAGAGCTGGTTAGTTTTACGTGTATAGGGCTGGTTACTTTTACGTGTATAGAGCAGGTTACTTTTTCGTGTATAGGGCTTGTGAGTTTTACGTGTATAGGGCTTGTGAGTTTTACGAGTATAGGGCTTGTGAGTTTTACGTGTATAGGGCTTGTGAGTTTTACGTGTATAGGGCTTGTGAGTTTTACGTGTATAGGGCTTGTGAGTTTTACGTGTATAGGGCTGGTTAGTTTTGCGTGTATAGGGCTGGTTAGTTTTGCGTGTATAGGGCTGGTTAGTTTTACGGGTATAGGGTGGGTTTGTTGGTTGGTTGGTTGGTTTTACGTGTATAGGGCTGGTCACTTTTACGTGTATAGGGCTGGTCACTTTTACGTGTATAGGGCTGGTCACTTTTACGTGTAAAGGGCTGGTCACTTTTACGTGTATAGGGCTGTTTACTTTTACGTGTATAGGGCTAGTTAGTTTACGTGTATAGGGCTAGTTAGTTTACGTGTATAGGGCTAGTTAGTTTACGTGTATAGGGCTAGTTAGTTTACGTGTATAGGGCTAGTTAGTTTACGTGTATAGGGCTAGTTAGTTTACGTGTATAGGGCTGGTTAGTTTTACGTGTATAGGGCTGGTTAGTTTTACGTGTATAGGGCTGGTCAGTTTTACGTGTATAGGGCTGGTCAGTTTTACGTGTATAGGGCTGGTCAGTTTTACGTGTATAGGGCTGGTCAGTTTTACGTGTATAGGGCTGGTCAGTTTTACGTGTATAGGGCTGGTCAGTTTTACGTGTATAGGGCTGGTCAGTTTTACGTGTATAGGGCTGGTTACTTTTACGTGTATAGGGCTGGTTAGTTTTACGTGTATAGGCCTGGTTAGTTTTACATGTATAGGGTGGGTTTGTTGGTTGGTTGGTTTTATGTGTATAGAGCTGGTTTGTTGCTTGGTTGTCGGTTAGTTTTACGTGTATAGAGCTGGTTAGTTTAACGTGTATAGAGCTGGTTGGTTGGTTAGTTTTACATCTATAGAGCTGGTTAGTTTTCAGCGTATAGAGCTGGTTAGTTTTACGTGTATAGGGCTGCTTGGTTGGTTGGTTAGTTTTACGTGTATAGAGCTGGTTAGTTTTACGTGTATAGAGCTGGTTAGTTTTACGTGTATGGAACTGGTTCGTTGGTTGGTTAGTTTTACGTGTATAGGGCTGGTTACTTTTACGTGTATAGGGCTGGTTAAGTTTGCGTGTATAGGGCTGGTTAAGTTTGCGTGTATAGGGCTGGTTAAGTTTGCGTGTATAGGGCTGGTTAAGTTTACGTGTATAGGGTGGGTTTGTTGGTTGGTTGGTTTTATGTGTATAGAGCTGGTTGGTTGCTTGGTTGGTTGGTTGGTTTTACGTGTATAGAGCTGGTTAGTTGTACATGTATAGAGCTGGTTGGTTGGTTGGTTAGTTGTACATGTATAGAGCTGGTTGGTTGGTTGGTTAGTTTTACGTGTATAGGGCTCGTTAGTTTTGCGTGTATAGGGCTGGTTAGTTTTACGGGTATAGGGTGGGTTTGTTGGCTGGTTTTATGTGTATGGAGCTGGTTAGTTTTACGTGTATAGAGCTGGTTGGTTGGTTGGTTAGTTTTACGTGTATAGGGCTGGTTACTTTTACGTGTATGGGGCTGGTTACTTTTACGTGTATGGGGCTGGTTAGTTTTACGTGTATGGGGCTGGTTAGTTTTACGTGTATGGGGCTGGTTAGTTTTACGTGTATGGGGCTGGTTAGTTTTACGTGTATGGGGCTGGTTAGTTTTACGTGTATGGGGCTGGTGAGTTTTACGTGTATAGGGCTGGTGAGTTTTACGTGTATAGGGCTGGTCAGTTTTACGTGTATAGGGCTGGTCAGTTTTACGTGTATAGGGCTGGTCAGTTTTACGTGTATAGGGCTGGTGAGTTTTACGTGTATAGAGCTGGTTGGTTGGTTGGTTAGTTTTACGTGTATAGGGCTGGTTAGTTTTAGTGTATAGGGTGGGTGGGTTGGTTGGTTGGTTTTACGTGTATAGAGCTGGTTGGTTGGTTTTACGTGTATAGAGCTGGTTGGTTGGTTGGTTAGTTTTACGTGTATAGGGCTCGTTAGTTTTGCGTGTATAGGGCTGGTTAGTTTTACGGGTATAGGGTGGGTTTGTTGGCTGGTTTTATGTGTATGGAGCTGGTTAGTTTTACGTGTATAGAGCTGGTTGGTTGGTTGGTTAGTTTTACGTGTATAGGGCTGGTTACTTTTACGTGTATGGGGCTGGTTACTTTTACGTGTATGGGGCTGGTTAGTTTTACGTGTATGGGGCTGGTTAGTTTTACGTGTATGGGGCTGGTTAGTTTTACGTGTATGGGGCTGGTTAGTTTTACGTGTATGGGGCTGGTTAGTTTTACGTGTATGGGGCTGGTTAGTTTTACGTGTATGGGGCTGGTGAGTTTTACGTGTATGGGGCTGGTGAGTTTTACGTGTATAGGGCTGGTCAGTTTTACGTGTATAGGGCTGGTCAGTTTTACGTGTATAGGGCTGGTCAGTTTTACGTGTATAGGGCTGGTGAGTTTTACGTGTATAGAGCTGGTTGGTTGGTTGGTTAGTTTTACGTGTATAGGGCTGGTTAGTTTTAGTGTATAGGGTGGGTGGGTTGGTTGGTTGGTTTTACGTGTATAGAGCTGGTTGGTTGGTTTTACGTGTATAGAGCTGGTTGGTTGGTTGGTTTTACGTGTATAGAGCTGGTTGGTTGGTTTTACGTGTATAGAGCTGGTTGGTTGGTTGGTTTTACGTGTATCGAGCTGGTTGGTTGGTTGGTTAGTTTCACGTGTATAGAGCTGGTTGGTTGGTTGGTTAGTTTTACGTGTATAGAGCTGGTTGGTTGGTTGGTTAGTTTTACGTGTATAGAGCTGGTTGGTTGGTTGGTTAGTTGTACGTGTATAGAGCTGGTTGGTTGGTTTTACATGTATAGAGCTGGTTGGTTAGTTTTACATGTATAGAGCTGGTTGGTTAGTTGTACGTGTATAGAGCCGGTTGGTTGGTTAGTTTTATGTGTATAGAACTGGTTAGTTTTACGTGTATAGAGCTGGTTGGTTGGTTGGTTGGTTGGTTAGTTTGACGTGTATAGAGCTGGTTAGTTTTACGTGTATAGAGCTGGTTAGTTTTGCGTGTATAGAGCTGGTTAGTTTTACGTGTATAGAGCTGGTTGGTTGGTTAGTTTTACTTGTATAGGGTGGGTTGGTTGGTTGGACGTGTATAGAGCTGGTTGGTTGGTTGGTTAGTTTTATGTGTATAGAGCTGGTTAGTTGATTGGTTGGTTAGTTTTACGTGTATAGAGCTGGTTAGTTGTACGTGTATAGAGCTGGTTGGTTGTTTTGTTGGTTGGTTGGTTAGTTTTACGTGTATAGAGCTGGTTAGTTTTACGTGTATAGAGCTGGTTAGTTTTACGTGTATAGAGCTGGTTGGTTGTTTGGTTGTTTGGCATGTGAATAGTGCTAATCAGTTCTGAACTCACTCAAAATCAGACGAGGGCTGGCAAACTTAGGCTGGTTTCGACATCCGCTGCCGTTGCAAACTCCTGTAAAACATGGACAAGTGTACATTAACAAGACAGTATGCATATACATACAAAAATGGACGAAGCTCATAATATTTATGTGCAATAAGCCTACATCAGTAGTCAGAATCAGCCCATCAGGGGACTCCTTGAAGTCATTTATTGTCATTTCTACCACATGTGCAAGACATACAGAGAAACGAAATTCAGAGATCAGACATACATGAGCAAGACACATGACAAGAATTGGTGTCTGCGGTCATTCGCAACATGAGTCGCGCTACCTTAATAGATGAAAAGGAATTACATGAGGATAGGTTGGTGGAGGGGAAAAAAAGCATACCAGAGTTACTCCCGACAGGGTGTAGCTGTAATATGCAGAAAAAAACACCTCAAACTTATAAGCACTGACAAGGACAAAAAGAGCCTAGGGAAAAAAAGATAAGGGAGCAAAGCAGAAGCGACTATGCTCTGTGAGTGCCAGGAGAAAAAAAAAATAATATACAAAAAAAAGTGAAGTGAGCCATCAAAAGCTGGACAACAAGGAATGTTAGATCATCAGTTTCTTCTTGTGCCAGGATTGTCTGGACATTAGCAGTCTTGACTTTAGTGCGGAAGTACTCCACAATGGCATTACCAAACTCCTCAATTGACAGTTCCAAGGCATGGAGGACGGCAACATCAGTCAGCAACTCAAAGTGAGAAAAAATTCCACGTTGTGTAAACAGGTAAGGCCAGCTGGTTTGCAAATCAGTTAAGGAGGGAGCAGGGATCCTGTTTATATGTTTGCGCTGAAGGCTAAATGTGGTGTTCATCAAATCAGCCGCTTCGGGCCTATCCTCTCCGTTAATGCCATGGTTGCTGTAAGTGCTCTGTAATCTTTGACGTTTCTCTTCCACTGTGTCATCAGTTTCCTCTGGAGGAAGTTCTGGCTGGAATCTTGTACATCCATACATATCAGTTGGTCCCCGTTTGCAAGTGATTCGGACACAATCACGGTGCCATCTTTTTATCAGAGGTGGAAAGATTACTAAAATTTCCTACTTAAGTACGAGTACCAGTACTTTGATAGTTTTTTACTCAAATACATGTAAAAGTACTTGCCTAAATTTTTACTCAAGTAAAAGTAAAAATTATCGTAAATAAAATGTACTCAAAGTAAAAGTTACTTAGTTACATTTTTGTCAGCGTAAAAACGGTTACATCAGTGCAAAACCACAACACCAGTTCACAACACGCTCGTGTGTGCACGCACACACACTGACACACACAAACAGTTTGATGGAAGGATTTCTATCCAATCAGTGAGAACAGGACGTGCACATTGATTGGACGAGGTTTTTCTAGGATTGTACGTTTCAATTGTGATTAAAATTATTCTTTATTTTGAAAATAAAAATGTTAATTTTTAGATGCCATCAGTATGTGAGGTATCTCAACGTTCTCAGGACAAAACTCTAACATGAGACTGTGCTCTAACCTGTCACATAACAAGCTAAATGAAAGTCAAACATTTCAAATGGACTGTATGACAGCTGTTAACATTGGCCCTGCCCTACTTTACCTCTACATTACAGTTCCTTTATCCATGTCCATCCTAGAGCTCCCCTCTGACCTTCATGCTTATTTAGAGCAGCTGATTTTTGAAGTTAGCAGAGTTCATCCTTGGTAGTGGGTTCACTCACTCATTTAAAGATATCAGCCAGAGGCAAAATTCGTTTGAACAGCATGTGCAAATGGGTATTAAAATCTCAGATGAAAAAGATTTTTGGATTTTGACGGCTGGAATTGTAAGAAAATCTGATGTTTGTGACCGGCGCGGGAAAAACAAACTAACTTCCAGTCTAAGCCTTGGGCAGCTGGTGACGTTTCACAAGGAGCTCTGCTGAAACCGCTGTAGTAAATGCCTGACTCCGCTGTTTCTGCGTTAGCATTATAGCAGAGAACAATGTGTCATCAATCAGATGTAGCTTCTGAAGCCTCTACTAGTCGGTCAGATATGTTTTTTCTCTGGGATACGGTGACAAGGACGAATATTGGATTACCGGAGTTCAACCGAACTCAGACCCCGCCGGCTGGATATCACTACCAGAGGTGCAGACATGTTTTAGACCGTTTGACTCAGAAGACCTGCGACCCGATTTGGACATAGGAGGATTCTGTTCATCTTCAGAACCAAAATTGGTACAGTTTGTTTACTTTTCTTTAATATGTCATTTCTGTGCTCCACTGGGAGCTCTAAGCTGACAAGTTCTCAGCTGGTCTTAGTTCCATCACGTGTCCCAATATATTTCAGTAATCTACAGTTTTACTGCTGTGTGTATTTATTGATATAACTCTGGAAAATATTTAACCAACAATTTACCAGAATAAATCTTCCTGATGCTGGAGTAACTCCTTAGCTCAATTCGTTGTTTGCACTAATCCAGGATGTCACGGAGGTTCTAATGTTGAAATATAGAGATCATCTTTTAGATTATATCTGTGTGTGTGTGTGTGTGTGTGTGTGTGTGTGTGTGTGTGTGTGTGTGTGTGTGTGTGTGTGTGTGTGTGTGTGTGTGTGTGTGTGTGTGTGTGTGTGTGTGTGTGTGTGTGTGTGTGTGTGTGTGTGTGTGTGTGTCGTAGCTTTCCCAAAGAACTTGTTCTTTCCTTACCAGAGCTAACACGGTTAGCAGTTTTGCTGCAGTCATGCTAACGGGACTCGTCTGGAGTCCAGAAGTAGCGGTGCGGTTCTAGATGGATTTATAGATGTAGTTTATTATTTTAGATCAGACCTGTTATTTAAAATGCATGTAGGACACAGACACATGGCTCAGACCTTTTGCTGCAGCTGTAAACGCAATTTTACGTAATAATTAGGAGCATGAAAGTAAACAAATAACGGTGATTCACAATACTAGCATCAGCAGCTACCTTGTTTTACGTGCTGGAATGACGTATGCGAAACACAGTTCTTCAATGTCTGGAGGAGAGGATTTGGATTTTCTGTCATGATTTATGACAAAAGTCATTAACAAAATAAAAAACTGAACCCAGTACATGTTTATATAGATGGTAAAGTGTAGTTATTTTGCATATCTACAATTTTAATGCCAAGCCAATACCTTTAACCCTTCACCACTGAAATCACTTTGCTCCTTCCAATCCTCCTAAATAATCCTCCAATCATCCAACTGGAATCCTTAAGGGTCCCGTAACGTCCATCCTGTCAGAATAGGCCTTGGGAGCCCAGGTGTTACTAGAACTAATGGTGTCTCCACACCAGCGTGAGCCTCCAAACTGTGAAGGTTGGTCTCCAAACATGAACTTTAAATTCATGCATTTATCTCCTCTTGTAACACTTTAACATTTTTTAAAAGGCTTGCATCATGATATGTTACACCTCCCAGACCAAAGATAGGTCCAATATAAGATAAAACATGATCATAAACACTGCAGAGACATCATTATTTATGAAATATGAGTTATTTTCCTGAGCCATTACTTCAGCCAAGAAATAAGATGCATGGATTTGATGAAACCATGCTGTCTCATGCAGTCCTATATGTGTAACTAACACACACACACACACACACACACACACACACACACACACACACACACACACACACACACACACACACACACACACACACACACACACACACACACACACACACTCACTCACTAGAATCATCTGAATGACTAATTTAACTACATTGAACTGCTTTTGTAATTATGTAATCTCTTATTCTGGAGTAAAACAAGCTAAATCATCACATATCTGTGGCATCAAGGGGCATCTTGAGTTCAAACACAGGGATGGAGCACAATGTTTACACCTGAAACAGCATCAGGATGTTTTAACTCACAGAGGCCTGCAGGTCTTCTGTTTAATTAGCAAAGTACTGAGAATCCGCTTGTTATGAGCGCTAAACGTTATTTTGCCGCTGCCGTGCGGAACGGTAGGGAAACACATCTCAAACACGGAACCGAGTCTGGTTACCGAACCGAGCAGAATTCTGATGACGTCACACCGATGCGCGAAGGTGCGGGATCCAACCCACAGGAGAGGAGGGAGAGAGGAGGTAAAGAGCGAGTGGATCACAGGGACTGAACTGATGTTTGAGCAAAACTGCGGTAAAATGGCTGTTTGTCCTCATTATCTAAAGTGTACCCCCCCTGCTAATTCGTTACTTTCCACCTCTGCTTTTTATTATTTTTGCAAAATGCAGGACCAGAGCGAATACGGTTTGGTTAGAAAAATGAGACAGTCCAAATGTTAATAGGGCCACTAATAGCTTACTGCTATTATGGACCAGTCCGAAGTCGGCATAAAAAGCGTCGGTACTGTTGGCCCAAAAAGAATGTCCACCAACCACTGTACGTCTGATAGAGAGCCCAGCGGTGGCACGGATGCACATTAATAGTTATTAATGAAATATCGCAATAAAGAGCCTCCAGTTCAGATGCTAACGCTAGCATGAATGTACAAAGATGAAAAACAAAAACGTGGTCCTACATGACAAATCTATAATTCCAGTCATTAAAAATAAATATTTAACTTTCCACCATAAAACTCCCAAAATTACTATGGTGCAAGTGATGTTTCATTTCGTGTCATGTTTTGTAAGCTAAACTTTGACAAGTGGGTTTCTGGTGATCTATAGATTGACTTAACACTAACCAAAACCACAATTTACATTCTTAAGAGTGATAAACTTACCTTTTAGAAGCTTTCAAGTTGGAGGATGAACAGTGATTGTCTTCTTTTTCTTCTTCAACGTAGCTGACTGCTGACTGTTCAAGAACAGAACTTCAAAAATGTGCTTCAAAAGAAATACTGTATTAGACAGTTTTTTGGCCGTGATTTTCCGGCTGTCATAATTCAACAAAAAAACATCAGATTTAACATTATCCCACCGTAATTTGGAAAATCGGTATGTTACTGTTGGAATTCTGCCGTAAATTTACAGAAATTTCTGAGTGTTGATAAGAGATACCCGAATGCACTCACCCTTCCAGCTAACCTTAGCTCGACTGACTGACGAAGCGGGTTCTAGAGCCCTATTTATAGGCTGGCAAGATGACGTCACAAAGCGACGTAATAACGTCGAAACCTCTCAGACCAAAGATAGGTCCAATATAAGATAAAACATTATCATAAACACTGCAGAGACGTCATTATTCATGAAATATAAGTTATTTTCCTGAGCCATTACTTCAGCCAAGAAATAAGATGCATGGATTTGATGAAACCATGCTGTCTCATGCAGTCCTATATGTGTAACTAACTAACACACACACACACACACACACACACACACACACACACACACACACACACACACACACCAGCAGCAGCAGCAGCATGTTAGAATCATCTGAATGACTAATTTAACTACATTGAACTGCTTTTGTAATAATGTAATCTCTTATTCTGGAGTAAAACAAGCTAAATCATCACATATCTGTGGCATCAAGGAGCATCTTGAGTTCAAACACAGGGATGGAGCACAATGTTTACACCTGAAAAAGTATCAGGATGTTTGAACTCAGAGGCCTGCAGGTCTTCTGTTTAATTAGCAAAGTACTGAGAATCCGCTTGTTATGAGCGCTAAACGTTATTTTGCCGATGCCGTGCGGAATGGTAGGGAAACACATCTCAAACACGGAACCGAGTCTGGTTACCGAACCGAGCAGAATTCTGATGACGTCACACCGATGCGCGAAGGTGCGGGATCCAAGCCACAGGAGGAGGGAGAGAGTAGGTAAAAAGCGAGTGGATTACAGGGACTGAACTGATGTTTGAGCAAATCTGCGGTAAAATGGCTGTTTGTCCTCATTATCTAAAGTGTACCCCCCCTGCTAATTCGTTACTTTCCACCTCTGCTTTTTATTATTTTTGCAAAATGCAGGACCAGAGCGAATACGGTTTGGTTAGAAAAATGAGACAGTCCAAATGTTAATAGGGCCACTAATAGCTTACTGCTATTATGGACCAGTCCGAAGTCGGCATAAAAAGCGTCGGTACTGTTGGCCCAAAAAGAATGTCCACCAACCACTGTACGCCTGATAGAGAGCCCAGCGGTGGCACGGATGCACATTAATAGTTATTAATGAAATATCGCAATAAAGAGCCTCCAGTTCAGATGCTAATGCTAGCAAGAATGTACAAAGATGAAAAACAAAAACGTGGTCCTACATGACAAATCTATAATTCCAGTCATTAAAAATAAATATTTAACTTTCCACCATAAAACTCCCAAAATTACTATGGTGCAAGTGATGTTTCATTTCGTGTCATGTTTTGTAAGCTAAACTTTGACAAGTGGGTTTCTGGTGATCTATAGATTGACTTAACACTAACCAAAACCACAATTTACATTCTTAAGAGTGATAAACTTACCTTTTAGAAGCTTTCAAGTTGGAGGATGAACAGTGATTGTCTTCTTTTTCTTCTTCAACGTAGCTGACTGCTGACTGTTCAAGAACAGAACTTCAAAAATGTGCTTCAAAAGAAATACTGTATTAGACAGTTTTTTGGCCGTGATTTTCCGGCTGTCATAATTCAACAAAAAAACATCAGATTTAACATTATCCCACCGTAATTTGGAAAATCGGTATGTTACTGTTGGAATTCTGCCGTAAATTTACAGAAATTTCTGAGTGTTGATAAGAGATACCCGAATGCACTCACCCTTCCAGCTAACCTTAGCTCGACTGACTGACGAAGCGGGTTCTAGAGCCCTATTTATAGGCTGGCAAGATGACGTCACAAAGCGACGTAATAACGTCGAAACCTCTCAGACCAAAGATAGGTCCAATATAAGATAAAACATTATCATATACACTGCAGAGACGTCATTATTCATGAAATATAAGTTATTTTCCTGAGCCATTACTTCAGCCAAGAAATAAGATGCATGGATTTGATGAAACCATGCTGTCTCATGCAGTCCTATATGTGTAACTAACTAACACACACACACACACACACACACACACACACACACACACACACCAGCAGCAGCAGCAGCATGTTAGAATCATCTGAATGACTAATTTAACTACATTGAACTGCTTTTGTAATAATGTAATCTCTTATTCTGGAGTAAAACAAGCTAAATCATCACATATCTGTGGCATCAAGGAGCATCTTGAGTTCAAACACAGGGATGGAGCACAATGTTTACACCTGAAAAAGTATCAGGATGTTTGAACTCAGAGGCCTGCAGGTCTTCTGTTTAATTAGCAAAGTACTGAGAATCCGCTTGTTATGAGCGCTAAACGTTATTTTGCCGATGCCGTGCAGAATGGTAGGGAAACACATCTCAAACACGGAACCGAGTCTGGTTACCGAACCGAGCAGAATTCTGATGACGTCACACCGATGCGCGAAGGTGCGGGATCCAAGCCACAGGAGGAGGGAGAGAGTAGGTAAAAAGCGAGTGGATTACAGGGACTGAACTGATGTTTGAGCAAATCTGCGGTAAAATGGCTGTTTGTCCTCATTATCTAAAGTGTACCCCCCCTGCTAATTCGTTACTTTCCACCTCTGCTTTTTATTATTTTTGCAAAATGCAGGACCAGAGCGAATACGGTTTGGTTAGAAAAATGAGACAGTCCAAATGTTAATAGGGCCACTAATAGCTTACTGCTATTATGGACCAGTCCGAAGTCGGCATAAAAAGCGTCGGTACTGTTGGCCCAAAAAGAATGTCCACCAACCACTGTACGCCTGATAGAGAGCCCAGCGGTGGCACGGATGCACATTAATAGTTATTAATGAAATATCGCAATAAAGAGCCTCCAGTTCAGATGCTAATGCTAGCAAGAATGTACAAAGTTGAAAAACAAAAACGTGGTCCTACATGACAAATCTATAATTCCAGTCATTAAAAATAAATATTTAACTTTCCACCATAAAACTCCCAAAATTACTATGGTGCAAGTGATGTTTCATTTCGTGTCATGTTTTGTAAGCTAAACTTTGACAAGTGGGTTTCTGGTGATCTATAGATTGACTTAACACTAACCAAAACCACAATTTACATTCTTAAGAGTGATAAACTTACCTTTTAGAAGCTTTCATGTTGGAGGATGAACAGTGATTGTCTTCTTTTTCTTCTTCTTCAACGTAGCTGACTGTTCAAGAACTGAACTTCAAAAATGTGCTTCAAAAGAAATACTGTATTAGACCATTTTTTGGCCGTAATTTTCCGGCTGTCATAATTCAACAAAAAAAAACATCGGATTTAACATTATCCCACCATAATTTGGAAAATCGGTATGTTACTGTTGGAATTCTGCCGTAAATTTACAGAAATTTCTGAGTGTTGATAAGAGATACCCGAATGCACTCACCCTTCCAGCTAACCTTAGCTCGACTGACTGACTAAGCGGGTTCTAGAGCCCTATTTATAGGCTGGCAGTATGACGTCACAAAGCGACGTAATAACGTCGAAACGTAGAGTGAGAGGAGGACGCAAACGCAGACAACGGCTGGACAAACGGATTCCATTGGCTTCAATAACACGTTTGTTGTCTATAATGGCAGGTGGCCACCACCGCCATTTTGACCGTGTCACAGGTTCCGTCCAGCCCAGACAATTCCATAAAAGGGAAGAGAGGAGGTGCTGAGGGTGTGGCTGTAAGGCTGGGCTCGAGTGACGACACCCAGGCGAACTAGCTACGAGCTAACCTGAAGCTAACCCAAAAAAAATAATAATAATAAAATAAAAAAAAAACCTGAAGCTAACCCTGGCTAACCCAAAGCTAAAGCGGAGGTGGGAGCCGAGCTAACGGATGTAGCCACCTAGCTTCAACCCAACCGGAGCTAACTGGAACACCCATCGACCTGAACCTCACACGGAGTTTAGGTGGAGGTTTTCTGCGCCTGTTCGTGAGAAGTACCTGTATTAAAAAAGATTTAAATCGGTAAGTTTATAATTTATTTCCGTAATGAATACATTTTGCTTTGAGCAAGTTTTCAGTACAGTTTTTTTCGGCGCTATCACTCCTGAGTCGCACCAGCCATTAAATGTATCATGAAGAAGAGAAAATATATTTAAGTCGTATTTTGGGGGACATTTTATTATCTTTCTTACAAAATCTGAGACCAAGCGTTTCACATTGCAACACAAGCACCGGTAACCATAACAGAATGAACAACAGCCAGCAGAGGAGAGGATGGCGGTGTTTCAAACCCTCCCGGCCGGCGAGGAGAGCTCATTCCTGGGCTGGAGCCGGCCCTCAGCACCCCGCCACAGGCTCTAACAGATGCTGGCGGTGTTTGAAACCCTCCCAGCGGGACAGGGGAACTCATTCTTGTGTGGGTCGGAGTCGGCCCGCAGCAGCGCGGTGTAGCCTACATATTTTGTTATATAAGTCGCTCTGGAGTATAAGTAGCAGGACCAGCCAGAATATGTAAAAAAGTGCGAGTTATAGTCCGGAAAATATGGCAGTTATTAGTATTCGAGCTAAATTAGCAGCGTAAATACATTTCATATATTTCCAAAATGTAATACTTGTTTGTATCTTGTACAGCCAACTAGTCTTTATTCTGGACTCAGTACAATTTACCAAAAGTAAAGAGACATTCTACAGATGAAGTAAGCACAAGATAACTTACTGGAAGACACGGGATTATCATGAGAACCAGAACAAGAGAGCCTGATAACAGTCATGTGAAAATAACAGTTAAAAAGTATGTATGTATAATAGAAATAAAAATATATTAGAATTAGTGTAACTCACTGTGATCCAAACAATAAATCAGCCATAGCTGATTAGTAAATATGACATGAGGTCTTGGAGTTTTTAATTTTCATTTTTTTCTTAGATCTGTTTAAATGTCACCATGGCAGCCTGTGTGTCTCCAACATCAGCTACACAAAGCAGCTAGTGTAAGTTCCACATACCTGTCTCACCACTTCATGTATGGTTTTGTACTTTGAACAATTATGACAAACCTGTTATTTTTTCTCCATAGCCATTTGGATCATTGGAGACAGCTATGTGAGGCGTGGTGCCCAGAGAGCTGCAGAGACAACCTTGGCCTCCCTGACGTCTGTGTCTCCTGGTTCGGTTGGGGCGGACCATCGACATACATACATGTGCCGACACTTTGCGCCCTGTTTTATAAAATTTAGTGTTAAAAATAAATGTTTTTGCTCAATTACTGGAATTTCTTTGGTTAAGACAAAAGTGAGGAATAATCATTTACAAGTTATTTGAACAACAGGCCCATTTTAAATCCCAACAGTTTCTTAGCAGACAATAGAAATGTGTTCTTTACTAACTTTACTTGGTTTAAAAATCTTACTAAAATAGTGCCGTATTGCAAAACCCAATCATACTTGTTATGTAAACATTAGCTTTGTAGATATTTTTTACAGATATATGTGTGCAACAAATCCAAACTTAAATAATTTGTCATTCTTTATTGAAAAACAACAAAATACAGTTATACAGAAGTGTGGGAAAATGATAATGTGAAAGTATTGCTATTTAAATGTAATCCTATTTATCTTTAAAAAGAAAAACTCTTAAAAATGTCCTGTACAGCATCATGACAGAAGAATGGTGGTCTGTCTGTCAGAATGTGCTGAACAGATTTGCTCTTTGAAGAAGAGTGTCATGTTTGGAGGAAGGTACTTAACCCAAGACATGCAGAATACAACACTGACCAAAAACTGATGGAAAAAATGATTTATTTATAAGGAGGAACTTAAGGTGCACAGATAAGTCTGTGGTTGGAACTGCAACAACAGCTCAGCGTCTGGAGGAGGGAGAACACAGGTGAGCATAGGTTCTGGTTTCAAAATCCATTGTAGGCAGGCAGAGGTGTTCAGCAGACTTACTGTGGTGGGTGTATGTGTTGGCTGGAGGAGAGAGAGGTAGAGAGGAAGCGCAGGAGAGGGAGCAGAGGTGGAGAGAAGCGGGGCGTCCTGGTGGATGGGGCACTGGGTGAGATGAGAGGTGGGTTATGGAGGCTGGTGATAAGGTCCGTGTGTTGAATATCCAAATCCTGGAGTAGAGTTCAGTATCCAATGAGGTCGACAGGAATCCTGAAGAACGGTAAATCCAATATAAGAGCAAAAACACTACGAAATAACATTAATCCTAGGAACACTAGAGGTAACACGAGTGGCTGGTTACTACCAAAACTGAGGCAATCTTCTGGCGTCAAATTGTGTCCTCCATCCACCTTAAATAGGAAAGCACCCCGCTGATTGCTGATCAGGAACGGCTGGGGTGGAGTCACCAGAACCATGAAGAACGTGTCTCCAGAGACAACCCGGGTCCTGGTACCAATCAGGAAGCGGACCTTATCACCCAGAGCTGCCAGGTCACGCTCAAAGCCTTCCTGTTCACACTGCAGAGCCTGAACGCTGGCCAGGTGGTGGCCGTAGTTGTCTGTGTTCAGGGCCTGGTTCTTCTCCTCGATCCACTCTTTGGTCTCATCAGCGTCTCTGAGAAGACATCAGAACTCCATCTGAGTGTGGGTCCAAACTCTACTGACCCGTAAGCGGCGCATAAGTGTGCGGGGTACCTGTGGAAGCGCTGCACCTCATGGGCGCTGCCCAGCATGTTGCTCCGGTCTTCAGCCAGCTGTTGCAGCGAGCGCCAGCTGTTGTTCAGCTCCTGGAGAGAAACCAAACCCAGTGAGATGAAGGTGGACGCCAGCGGGCTGGACGCCGGACAAGGAAACCTGGAGACGGATCGCTCAGACAGGAAGGGAAGAGCTTCCTCTTACCTTGATGGAATTAAAGTTAGCCGTCGTCTGAACGCCCAACCGTACGGTCTGAGGTCAAAGGTCACAGGAAACACACACCAGTCAGCAGTCATACAGATGCATAAAGATAACTGTAGCCATGGCAACCAGCTGACATGTCCCCACTTTCACCAGCACCTGGTGCCTGCCGGGTCACCTGAATTCCTGTGTGATGTCAGCACGGTCGGCCGTGACTGCGGCCATCAGAGGTGACCTTTGATCAGCTGAATGAACTCACCTTCTAGGGTGACGCCGTGTTACCCCGGGTTTCCACGGGAGCCGTCAGCAGCACGTTACTGCAGCAGCACGTCTTGCTCGCGTAAGCTGCTGCTTGGCCCTTCCCACGAGACGCGAAGCAGCAGGGGAGCAGCTGTCACCGACCGAGCACGAAGTCACACGAGTGACTTCGTCAGTAAACACAACAACAAGCAGGAGAAAACTACAACATGGTTTGTGTTTTATGTTCTGTCCATTTTATAATCGCCAATACGGACCTGAAAAACAAAGGAGACCGCTAGCTAGGTGATAACTTCTCACGGGGCCGCACAGTTAGTAACTGTTTTTAAAAGTAAAGCAACCGGAAGGCAGTACGTTCTTTATTCTGAAAATCTCGGTAGCTTCTCTCAATTTCCGCGTCCGATTTCCTGTCTTTCCTTCCCCAAAAATGTCGAACTTGACCCGTTTCAGAGGCGTCGCGCGTAGAAAATAGAACCGGCGCGTAAGGGCCGCCACTTGCTGCTCCTGAGACGCGGCCGACTCTCGCTGCCGACGGCTCCAGTGGAAAAGGTTCTGTTGACCACAGCGGTTCCTATCAGCAGCTATGACGTGCTGCTGCAGTAACGTGCTGCTGACGGCTCCTGTGGAAAGCCGGGGTTAGAGTCGGCTTCATCCTGTAAACAAACAAATGAGTGGTAACAAAAACACCACGTCTGGTTCTGGTGGAGGCGGAGGACAACACGCACCTTTCCAGGAGCAGAACCCAGATGTTCTTGTTGCTACAAACAGAGACGAGCAGAGTTAACAAACCAGGAAGTGAGAGGGACCAGCTGCTGCAGACAGGTGACGCTCACCTGAGCCTGAACCATAGGAGCCTCCTCAGCCATCAGACCTTCTGACTCCAGTTCAGATGCCACCTTGTTGATGTCCCTCAGGCGGGACTCGTTGGCCTTCAGGTCCTGCAGGACAAAAGCACCTGCTGATTATCACCTGAGCTGATCTGACAGCTGCTGCTGGAAGACGGAGAGGAGTAAAAGTCCGACCTTCTGGAAGTCGTCAAACTTCTTCTGCAAGACCTCGACCTGCTCCAGGTCCGACCCGTCTCTCCATCCTCATTCAGCTAAAGACGCGAGTTCAAGTAAAACAACCTAAAGTCACACAAACACAAAGCAGGTGTGGAGATGTTCGCTCTGAGCTGGAGGTCGTTCCTCGGCTGTGAAGGGCACACGAACCTTGTTGGTGCTGTTGAGCAGCGTGAGGATGTCGCCCTTCTTCATGGTGACCTCTCCAGGACTCTTCTCCTGGTAGTCGTACAGAGCCAGAACCAGCTCCTTCCCGGTCTCATCGTCAGTTGGAGCCACTTGTTGCTGTCGGGTTAACAGGTCTGGTGTTAGAACGTGGTGGATAAGAATGTTCTGACGGGCCGAGGGTTCTGAACCAGCGAAGTGACCTGGACCCAAACAAAGTGAGCCAGAACCTGCAGACACCTCAGAAACATGTCAGGACCAGACCTGCTCTACCTTCCTCCATTATGGTCTCTCCTTTCTGGGTGACAGCCTTGATGCGAGGTTCATGACCTGTGATCTCAGCCTGCAGAGCCTGGTGCTTCTTCAGCAGGTTCTGGACACCAATCAGGTCCTTCCCTGAGGACACATGTTAGAGTTCAGCATTATGCAGTAGACAGACCAGTTTAACCCAGGGGTTTCTTTCTTCTACAATCTGCTCTTTAACTGTATTATTTCCTGCTATTTCAGCTGTTAACTTCATTTTTTCTCTAAGTGTTTTTCTCCCCAGAAGAAGCTACAACGATGTTCTGCTGAGCTGTGGTGGCCTCATGGAGGGGGCCATCATCTAGCACACTGCTGCTAACCACTTAATCATTCTCCCTCTCCTGATAATAACATTTTACTTTCTTTGATGTTGGATGTACTACTGCTAGTTTACCCGTTTAATTATAGATTCACTAGGATAAATACAATAAAGTTTATCTCTCACCAAATAGAATATTTACTAAGAAATCACAATGTAACGTGTGTGTGTGTGTGTATGTGTGTGTGTGTGTGTGTGTGTGTGTGTGTGTGTGTGTGTGTGTGTGTGTGTGTGTGTGTGTGTGTGTGTGTGTGTAAAAGCCATGTGTAGTGTTTATTTATAAAGCATATGTTGTTGGATTTTATCCAGAATCGAGATTTTGAAAATATATACACACTTAAAACTGCTGGGTTAAAAATAACCCAACTTGGGTTATTTTGTAACCCAGGCGCTGGGTCAAAAAGGGACCGACCCAACGCTGGGTTGTATTAACCAAGCAGGGTTGGGTTATGTGTTTGACCCAGCATATTGGGTTATGTTTTCTACCCAACTAATGGGTTAAAATGACCCAACTGTATAATTAGGGTAACCCAAAACTGGGTTAAAAAGAAAACCCAACTTCTGGGTTATTTAATAACTAAAGATTGGGTTAAAATGACCCAATTCTATAATATAGGGTTATAGGAAAAAAATAAATAAAATGCTTAATGAATAACTTACTACACAAAATGAACATGTCTCAGTCAATTCTTTATTGACCAAATAAGTTTTTTTTTTTTCATTTTTAAAATGCATAACAATACTAATACAACTAGAGAGTATTTAAAAACATTTATAGTCCCGCTCATTTTTTTTTGTAAAACTCTGCTTATTGCATTTGTGTAAATGTGTTTTAATGACAAATATTAAAATATTAGACACCTGAAGATCATGAACATTTTCAACCCAATGCTAATGGAAGAACTGTACTTACGTAAATGTCCAAAAACATGTAACTCATCTCCATGCTAGCAAAACATCAACTTTAAATCATAGCCAACTGAGCCCTCATTAGCTTTACAGCATTTGATTCATGCCCAGGCATTTCAAAGATGACCATTTGAATGAACTCCCAAATTTGGGCACATGGTTTTGGGTAATTCACATCTAACACAAAAAATGTTTTAAAACAGCCATCAACTGCACCCAAAAGTGATGGATATTCCATGGCAGTCCCATTGAGGATAACGAATGCTTGGGAACATCGATGGTCTTCACCAAGCATAAGAACATGTGGGTCGTCTGTTGTGGCCCCGGTCAGGTACTCCACCATGTTGGTTCCAGTCTAAAAGTAAGGGGAATTGAAGAAAAAAAAAGAGAAAGAAAGGGAAAAAAATTAAGGCATGAAAAAGAAATGGTTTCATACAAGTTGTGGAAGCATATTTGGAGTTGGCTGTCAATAATAGTGGTGCAACTGTACAGATAGCCCACAGTACGGTCTGTAGTACGGTTTTTAGACCACGGTCTCAGTATGGTTTTGGCATACGTTTTGTGCAGAAAGGCTGCTGTTTGTTATCCCAAAAAGTGTATTTAATTTTTTTGTGAGCAAAAACATTTGCATTATTTCAATTATTACTTGTATCAAATACAAAATCTAAAAAGATATGTAAAATGTAAACAAACAAAATGCAAAACACAAAATGCATGTAAACACTCCAAAAAACTGGAATACAAAAATTCACATACCGGTAATATAAAGATGACTATTTTAAATGAGTGAGCTATGTTAATGAAACACAAAGTTTAAAATAGTTTAAACAAATGTTATATTTTGCACTGCAGCAATGCATACAATTGAGTCCTCAATGGTTCATTGCTCACTAAACACAAAAGCTGCATTAATGTCTAGCTCGCAAACTGGGAGCTGACTGCTCAGAGAAAGACAGGGAGAGGTCAGCAGCTCCTGTGCTGCACACAGAACAGCTGACAGGCCAGAGCAACTTGGGATTTCCGCAAAATAAATCAGAAAACCATCATTCAAAGACATTTATTTAATTCTGACCACTTCAATTGGAGACATGTTTCCTGACTTCCAAACTTTGGCTGACAACCCAGCGAGCGTTTGGCGTCAGGTGCAGGTGGAGTGGCGCTCTGTGCCAGACAAGATGCAGAGCCATGCGCTCTCACATAAGTGTAATGAATTCATGTAGCCTGTAACTCTGCTCCATGTGTGGCATGGTTTAGAGTAGGAATGGGCAATATAAACTTAATCCACAATAGAGATTTTCCCTCTACTGCAATAGAATGGATTTTTCCAGCTGTACCATGATGGGACGCAGCAGCATAAATGATGTTCAGCGTTTATAGTCCCTGTAGATCAGAAATCGCACTGCCATTTTAATTAATACTGAACCAAACCAGCCTGAACAGAGATTCAAACCGTGCCACCACACATGGACCAGAGTAACAGGCTACAGGAATTAATTATAAACACACCTGTTACCAGAGTGCGTATGGCGCTGCGTCCTGCCTCGCACAGAACGGCGCTCCCCCTGCACGAACGAGAGCTAACAATGCTAACAGTAAATTAGAAAGAGTCAACTCTAAAAATATCTCAAGTTGCTTTTTTCAATTACCACAGATGCTATTGGAGTGAAATGTATTTATCTACTAACAATATCAACTACTGTGTCTGACTCGTCTTGTTATGATTCTAGTCCGAACGAGGAACCAGGGAGGGAATTTTTCTGCAGCACTCCGATTTGACCACAAGATGTCAGTGTTACGTATCCCTCATTAAATTTACAGTCTTTCTCCTGGCATTCAGTTTTAAGTCTGTAAATCTTTCATTTATTCATTTTACCAATTTTGAATTTATTATAATTTAATGTGCACATAAATGGAAGCAAGTGAAAATTTTAAAATTTCAATAAAAAATTTCCACTGTTATGTCAGTGCTAAATAAATATTTCAGTTTTGTTTTATTGCAATGCCTTGATTATAGTGAAGTTGGAATACATTGTAGCCATAAATGCTATGGTTGACTTTTAGCTTATTGACATGCTAATTGACCATTTTTCTTTCAGTGCTGCAGTTTTCAGCCTTGGTTTTCTCATTTTAGGTTTTTGGTTTCAGCCAAGAATTTTCATGTTGGTGCATCCCTAGAAAATAATACCTAATGTCAAAATTAATAGAACTTACTGGCTGGATGTCAATGAAGGCCTTGCGAACCACGCTGCTGGGTCGGAGGAGTCTCCTTCCAACTTTGTATGGTGCAGTAGGGAGAATCAGTGGGAGCAACAACAAAGCGGCATCTTCCTGTTTGTCTGTAAAATGGAAATGTTTCACATTTCTCAAGGTTACCAAACTTAGAAAATGACAACCATAAAATATGAACTGCAATGATTTTGAGGTCAGAACACACTGGCTGATATCTTTCAAAAACAAAGTTGGAACTATTCAAAAACAGAAAAATGGATGGGTGAAAATCTTATATCGCCCACATCAAGTCAGACAGAAAAAACTGCCTCAGATGTTACCATAAAACCTACTGAATACAACAAGTGATATGTTTGTTAAAACAAGGTGAAGTACTCCCATTGGCAACACAAGATGTTTACCATATATTCAGCTCATCTCCAAAGCTCCAGCAGATAATAAAAATTTGTAAGAAATTGTATACAGCGCATTTACTGTCCTCTAATGCCTGCACACCTAATAGGCTACGTATTGACAATGAGATCAAAATAAAAAATTTAAATGTCTCATTGTACTTATAGAGCCTTTATTTAAGCTAATTTTTCAAAGATTGTTTCATAGTTGTTTTTTTTACCGTAAATGACAAGTTGATTGATCTGAAAGAGAAGCAATACACACTGCTTTTTAAGGACTTTCCATTTTTGTCTGAGTTGATGCTAACCTTGCCCTGCAAGATGTTTTCTCGCAAGATTTGGAGTTTTCCAAACTCGTGAGAATCCATCTTGGCCTCCTCCAATCCTGACGGTTCAGCATCAGCTCAATGGTAAACGGACTAATCGTGTGTCAGCATTGTGCTTTTTGGCAGGCGCATGAGCAGCTGTTTGGGCATGCCGACAAACATGGCAGTGCCGGTGGATGTCAGAGCAGTTACTGGTTTCAGAATGGATATAACCTCCAGCAAAAGGTAGGCCTAGGTAGTCTCATTTATAGCTCCAATACGGCGCTATATTGAATATCTGTTTTAGAAAAACTAGAGACTTAGCTGTGATTGGCTAAAGACAAACCATGGTAGCCAGTGTTCGGACACTTGCTGGTGCTTCCTCCAATCAGCTCAAAGTATTCCAGCAGATGGCCCACCCTCCTTCCTAGGCTTTCTAATGCAGCCTGCGGCGGAGATTCCAGATCGAAATATGGAGACTCGACAGGTGGCGGGGCTACATAGAGAGAGCTGACTGCTGCCAGCTTAAGCTGATGCAACTAGAACAGCAAACCTATAGTCCATGACCTCATCTACTTTCAGTCACTCAGAATTATGAGGTAACTGGAATGCACCATCAGAGCTTCAGCACCTGGATTTTCAAGTTGTGTGCTGCTACTTTCTGGAGAAAAGCTGGCTGGCTATGGCTAACCTTACAATTTCTTTTATATTTCCATCCCATCTTCAAGATGTAGCCCATTATAAGGCGTGTAAAGGCTTTTAAATTGAGGACAAAGTGTGGCTTGTATAATTATTATTTAGCTGCTGAAGTACTTTATATTGGTACTGGAAACAGTTGACCTTGTTCTAACAGATATGTCTTGTTTTATTTGTTCAGTGGGGTTTATGTGAACACCTGAAGCTATTTTAACGAGTCTGTTCTGTCTGAGGCGGTTTAGTAAGAAGAATAAAAAGTGTGTTCTTGAGAAATGTCTTTTTATCTAATGTCTGACATCTGAGGTGTTCTTTCTGAGGTCTTACTCATGTATTCTTGAGACCCGAGGATGTCCTAAAATGCACACTGTATAACCGTCCAGAAGGACAATGATCTTGGCAATCCACCAATCAGGCCTGGATGGTAGCATGGTCAGACAGAAGCCACTTCACAGTAAAAGGCTCGTATCAGCGATCCACTTTGAGTTGCTTGAGATAATGGGCTGCACCGCAATGCATGCTACTGGTGCAAATGGCTGAATTAAAAAAATGCACTAGTGTGTTCTGTCCCATATCAGCCTAGCCAAAAATGTTATAGTAAACTCTTGACTCAAAATAAAAATTAAATAAAGTTGACAATGATTGTGAAATGCAAATACCTGCTGGAAGCGAATCTATGTCGATGAGACGGTTAGCTGCGTCTTCTTTTCTGGCCATGCGGATGATCTTTCGGGAGAACACGTGGCTCCACCTTGCAGTTAATTTCTCTGAGGAGTCTGGGTGTAGCACAGAGAAGTCCTGAGAAATCTTACAATGGGGGGGGGGGGGGGGGTAAGAGACATATTGTTAAACACAAAAACTGATTTGTGAAATTTACTGTATAAGAAAGCTCACCATGCCTGGAGTGTCAACCAAACGTGGAAACTCGGCCATTATTTCTCTGATTGACATTGTCCCATTGCTTCTAATCCACTGGGCTCGTTGGATAGCGGTCTCCAGCATATACTGGGAAACTTGTGATGGTGGCCAGATATTGTTTTTCAGCCATTCTGTCATCTGGATGGCTCGCTCTGGAGATACAGTAGGTTCTGTTGTAGATTAAAAAAGAAAAAAACATTCTGAATAGTGATGACTGATCATGACCTTTACAATTTAAAAATATGTCAGAATTGTTTCATTTCAGCAAATGCCCTAGAGAAAGAGTGCAACCATTAAGTAGACTGTAATGGCGCTTTTACACTTGGGCCAGCTTGTCCCGCTCCACTCCAGCCGGGTTGTGTTCACATGTTGCCGGTGAGGAATTGGGCCATGAGCGGAGCCAGCAGGTGGCGGGAAAGAATGCAGGTAAACAAAGGCAGGAGCAGCATTGGGGAGAGCGGGGGATATCTCGGAAGGAAACAACGCAGAGGAGGTCGCAATTTATTTGTACGTTGTGCGTGGACTGGCTCTTTTTAAAGAAAAAATCTCCTTGTTTGACATGTGAGGAGACGTCGTTCTGGTAGAGAATCACTGGAAGCCGCTCAGCAGAGCTGGGAGAAGGCAGACAGCACATCGGGTGAGCGCCGGTTACAGTTTCCAGCTGCAATGTGTTTAAATCAGTTAGAAAGAGCGAGAGTGACATCACTATGCAGGGCTTATCAGTTCATAGGTGGGCGTGTTGGCCAGAGTGGAACCAAGGTTTCCTCGGTCCGAAAATGGTGTCCGTTCCGCGCAGCTCTACTCGAGAAAAAGAGTGTGAACGCTCTGAGCGGGGCCGTATCATGCGGAGCCGACGCCAGTGTAAAAGCGCTATAAGATTAAGGCAAGTTGGCTTTACCAGGCAAAACAATCTGGCATTTTTGTGGCGCTTGAGGTGTTGACTTATTCTGGGTGTCGCAGCGTGACCTCTTTCGCACATTGCGGAGACATTCCTCTAGGAATCCTGTTGCAGGTCTATGTTTCCTTCCTGGGGTGAACCACGCATCCTAAAGTAAAAACAAAAACACATACACAACAGGAAAGAATACAAAAATAGCAAATTAGAAAATAAGAAAACCAGCACAAGCCTTTGAATGAGGTAGTGGATTCACTTGAAATTTACAATTTATTTATTGGGAGTATCCACTCTGAGGTTTGTGTTTTAATTATATGTTGGTCACACAGTGATAGGCAAGTCAAATTCGTCTGTAAAGCACACTTTCAGTGATAAGGCAATTCAAGCTGCTTTTGAAGACCTGCGATATTCTATAACCGTGCTTAATATTGCGATATTGATATTACTCACGATAAATGAACAAATACTAAAATATGCAGTGTTGATGTCGTCTGGCGTGTGACGTCTTCTCTGGGTTCAAAGCAAACAAAAACTAATGCATGAATTCCATTACAACATAACATTTTTATAGCAAAAACATGCAGCTGCACCTGCTACTGTATTAGTAGCAAAACAACAAACTGCATGCATGCAGTTTCTCAGTGACTTTAAAACATCACCTCCACCATAAAACTTTTTCTGATTCTCCAAATACAGAAAAACATCCCTTACCAGGGTTTTTAGAATAAATACTTTAAATGTTAAATAATAGTTAACATCACTTAAATGCAACAGCAAATTCTCTCATTGCTACTGAACATTTTCTCCACTTATGTGGTTAAGATATAAGGATGTTGCTGTAATTGGAAAGTGAACTGTGCTGGGCCAAACTAGGAGAATATTAAGATTTTCTGAGGGAAAGAGAAAAACAATCGTCTACCTTTCAGAAGAGGAACTGGCAAAAAAACTACATGGAAAATATGTGAAAACATTTGTTTTTAACCCCAAATTGAACAAGTTTACCTAGATCTTAAAAAGCAGCTCAGATGATGAAACTGCAACTATGATTCTGATAACAAGCTAACTAATTGAACTAGCTCCTCTAAGATAACTGGCTAGCAGAGCTTCTGACTGACAGTTTATGTGCAGCAGCAAATCAACTATCCTGATTAACAAGGTTATAAAAGCTCATAAATGAAAAATCACTTTGATGTGTGGGGGAACTTTTCCAGGCCCTCTTTAGCAGGGTGGGACTGGGAGGAGAGTGCTGTAGCCTTTTAGCTGGAAGCTAACCGGAGCCACCACCCGGTGGAACACTAGCGACATGAAGGTGGGTTGGTTCACCGGCACGTGTCGGAGTCAGCCCGGTAAAAATGATTACGACACCGAGCGGACTCACGTTCACGTTTGAAAGCAGCGCTGATTCCAGAAACCTCAGCACAAAGTGTGTTCGGTGCTCTGAGCCAGAATGACGAACAAGGGAACGGCGCTGCAAACTATGTTCAGCTGTTGCTTTCCAAAAGAGTCTATGTAGGGGGCGGGCGTATTACGTGAACGGACCCATCTGATTGGTCGCATATCAGAAGGACTACATTTGATTGGTCAAATAATACTTCTGCGTAAAAAACAGAGCTGGTTTACAAAAAGCTGATGTATGACACGGATGGAAATGTTTGAACCAAACATTTATCGCTGTTTTTGCCGTGTTTTGCGATGGGCCTATCACACGTCCTGTTATCGCGATGACGATAATTTTTCGATATATTGTGCAGCCCTAATAGATATTAATATAGATGATGGTAGGACAGTTTGCTGACTTTTATGAGAGTTTTAAATGTCCTTTATTTTTGATAACATAATAATGTCATATGAAACGTTACTTACATAGCCTGTGCCAAGACTGTCCTTTAGACATGGAAACTGCTCCACTACTGATGATGCCAGCAATGCCTTTGATTCCGAGGGTGGACTTCAAAAGAAAATTGACATGTTACTTTATTATACACCCAAAACAAAAGATACTTTTGTACACTTATTATGAAACAGCTTTTTTATTGTTTTCAATCATATTTTGAAAACCATAATTTGTGATTCAACACTCCAAATCCTTTGGAAGAGATGGCCATGGTTTAAAAATCTACATTTGTTCACCAACTTTAAATAACATAAAAAAGAGAAGTCTATTATAAGTTTGAAAAGATGCTCACTTCTCTCCAAAGCACTCAATCAGGTGGGACACAAGTATCCTGACCATGGATCTTCTCTCACTTATAGAAATGTGATGGCTTTCTTCAAGGCTGTGAACTATTGCTCTTCCATCAGGTGTTTTGTTGAGTATCTCACGGATATTCTAATAATATGTGAACAGAGAAAAAGGGTCTAATTAAATCTGCAAAGAAACCTAAACCTTCAATACATCACTGGGAAAGGTTAGAGGGATTTTCTGGAGGGAATGATAAGAATCCATTATTACTTCTGCATGGATAGTAAGACTTACAAATGATGTTCCACCCTGGACAGGAGCCACGTGCTGCAATTTGTCAGCTGGTGCACAAACAGACTCCGTTTGTTTAGGGCTTGAATCCTGGTTAAAAAAAGCAGGGGAAGACCCTACATAACTACAAAAAAATTGATAAAGCATCTATAATTCTGATTGTAGTTTTAGTTACATGGTTCAAATCATAAAAACAATTATGGTATATTTGTCAAAAACACTCAGGTATATACTTACAAAAGTGATGATGATAAAGCTGATATGCAGCTCCACAGTTATATTGATTTTAATCAAATATTTTAATGATTTGAATGTATTTACATTTATTTGTCACAAAAATGAGGTAGTACCAGGTCAAAGCTCAAGACAGTACTTAAAACCCTTTGGGTTTAAAATAGCCTGTACCTCAGTGAAATGTAGGTCACTGCAATTCTCCTTGTAGGATTTCACAGCATGGAGAGGGTGATAGTCAGCAATGGAATCAATGTCCACTGCTTCAATCGCTGAGGTAGGGGAAACATTGAAGGCAAAAAAAATGCCTTTCAAAGCCGATTGTTTCCCACTTTTTTAAAATGAGCTTAGTATTCGAACGAAGTACCACAATGCTCTGAATAGTTCCAAACTGAGGCTCGCAGTCATCTGTATGAGACATAAATAATGTCATTCCTGTCCTGTAGCTAGTGCCCTTGTACTTAATCCAAGAAGGCAGATAAACGTCTGTAATAACAGCAACTCCTTCAAACCCAGATTTGACCTTCTCAAAATCCTCTATTGTACCAAGGAGTTTGGTATATCCTGGCCCAACTTCAAACTCATGGCAAAACATCTGGCCTGACAGGAGAGTGTAACACATCATTATTTGATGTCTGTAGGCTTGGGTTTTACAGATATTTCGAAAGTTGCAGGTAACATGACTCACTCTTTTGAAAAACCCATGTTTTGCCTCAAAGCGCATTGACCAGAAGTGAACAACAGGCCCAAGTTTCCGTATGGCTCTGGGATAGTGAAGCATGAAGTGGTGTTTGGGTTTTAGATGTCTGTCTGGGAAGAGCTCTAAATAAAGACAATGGTGCTTCTCAATGATGTGCCCCAAAAAGACTACTGCTCCTTCTGTTAATGAAGGAGAAAAAATAAACTCCATGCAGCTCAACAATAAAAGAAGCAACTCCCAATATTTGTTGTCCTCTGGAATCAAATCCCCTATCATGAGGGGAAGCAGTCTTAGCAGACACCATGTTTGTGAAGCAGATTGCCTAAGTCCAGTATCAGGATTTTTCAAGTCCTGAGGTTTGATGGTTGATGGCTTGTTGTGGACATCACAAAATCCATAGTCAAAGCTTGTCAACCTGTAGTTCAGCTGATCAAGAGTGACAATTTTTTGTTCAATCAATGCATTGAGCACAAGCTTAATTTCATAACCACCAATCCCTTCGAGGATATCATGCATGACATCAGGAGCAACATTGTCAGTCACATGGTAGAACTGCAACTTGTTAAGAGAGCACTCTCTCTTGATGCCAGTTTCAGCTGGTTTGTGTAGAAGCAAGTCTGAGTGGTAGTTAACCTTGTCACGTATTGATGAAGGAGCTTCAACTGTCTGTACCCTCAACACTTCCTTGTGAACTCGACACCACCGACACACGCTATTGCCTGCAAAGCTTTCTGTGTAACCAAGTATTCCATTAAGTCCAAGGTTATCACCACAGACCTGTGCCACTCCAGCCTTAACAATGCCTGAAAAACGTGTGGTTTCAACATGAAAGCCATTCAGTTCCATGTCTTTAATGTCATTCACAATTGGCTCTAAAATTGTGTTCATTCCATATGTTTTTACATCATCAGCTTTGTACACTGCCAACAAGAAGTGAGACTTTAAACTAGACATGTATTCCTGTGGCAAGCATTTCATTGTGAAATAGATAAAACCAAGTTTGTGGACTGATGTTTTTGCGCCAAGTGGATTCACCATCTCACACTCATCACTGTAAAGAACCAATGGAATAGAGAAATCTTTAGAGAAAAGTGGATTAGTTTCAAATATTGTGCCATCTCTGAAATCCTCTAAGGCAGCATTTTCAAGATTTTGCCATTCAAAGATCTTATCTATTGTTCCTGGACTTTCCAGAACAAGCTTCAACATGGGTTTCAAGGGAACATACTGGAAAGTGTCCCGAACTGCAACTTGTTTCACATTTCCTGACTCTCGATCAATTTCTTGTGTAAAGGAAAAGCCAGGGAGTGGTACTGCCTCTGGCTGTATGAAGAACCCAGACTGAGTAAAATATTTCATTTGCTTGTACTCTGATTCAAATCCTTGAAATGGTTCAGCTGCTTTGGTGAACTGCTCCATGAGGTCCTCTGCTTGTGGAGTCTCAGAGTGACCGATCTCTCTTAAAAAAGAGAGTGTTTTTCTCTTTAAGCAACCAACTACATCTCTGATAAGACCTGATGTGTTTTCAACTACATCTCTAATCCCACTGAATGTCTGAGAGGATGTTGCCTTTAACCTAGCTAAGAAGAGTGCAACTCTGTCCTTTATGTTGTCTTCCTCTAGCTCATCCCAATGTTCTGCTGTAGTCTCACAGCATTCCACCTCATTTAGCACACTTAAATGAGGATCTACTGAACTGTCAGGAAGTTCACCTGTGCTACTTTCTTCTGTTTCAATGTCAAACTCAATAGCATGCCCAATTATGTGTCGTCTGAATGATCTTATTTGATCAAAAGTGCGATGGCACCCAACTTGAGCACACTGGAAATAAGTCGAAGTAGAAAGTATATGATGCACCACTCTGAGATGGTTAAAAAAAGCTCTTATGTTATGACCTAAAGACCTATGACATTTAAAGCACACGTACCCCATTCTGTTTTGACCTCTGACACTGGTCATACCTCAAGTAATCTTTTTAAATTATTCTGAATTTTCAGGCGTGGACCCAGGAGAGGTATCAAAGTCGTCAAGCTGTTCGCATCCAAGAGGAAAAGGCTGTCTTTGTCAATCTTTTCAGCTGAAAAAAAGAAGGAAATTTGGATCACTGATCAATAAAACAACAAGCCACACACAGATGTAGGCCTGGGCAATAAAACAGTAACCATATGTACCGCAATGTAACTTTTTCTCAGTAGTAAAATGAGACTCGCAATATAGTTTGTCCATCTTTTTTTTCATAGCCAACTGAATTACACTATTAAAATAAACTATACCAGGACAGATTGGGAGAATTTGCTTTTAGTTTTTAGCTTATTCATTTGATATTGACAAAACCTTCGACAATTTATTCTCCTGTAAAACTTATTGTATCCTGAGATTTATTTTTAGTCAATATTTTGTTTCTAAGTGGAATTGACCAAGCAGTTAGGTCATTTTTTGTTCTCTTTTGAAACTTGAAAGCTTTAGTCCTGACTTTAGTTTATAATATTATGAACCTTTATTATTTTAGTCACCTGAAACAGATGTTATGTTCTCTCAGTACGACTGTCATGTTGAACCTTTGACAGGAAACTAATATTTAAATATAAAAGCAGCTTCTGATGATTTCACATTTAACTTTTAAGTAACAGCCCATTTAAATTTTACACAGAGTTTTTTGACTTATATTCCAATCTAATCCAATCCAATTTTATTTATAAAGCGCATTCAACATGGCATTACAACCAAATAAGGCGCTGTACACCAAAAATATATATTGTAATATATATATATATATATATATATATATATATATATATATATCGACATTGACAGAAAGGAAAAAGATGTATCGTGATATGAAAAATCTTATATCGCCCAGCTTTACACAGATGTAAATATGAGTACTGGTAGTTACAGTTTTTTACTTTAATTACAGAAATACATTTACTTTATCATACCTTCAAAAGCAGGGATGTATTCAGAGAGGTTCCATTCCAGAAGTTTGTCCTTCACAAATTCATCCATCTTTTAGAAAAAACAGAAATCACATTTGGTTGCTGTATTTTTTTAACAGTTAATCACCAATATTACTTGCAGTTAATTAACAATTGAAGTTTACAAAGGATTATACAACAAAGCAGAAGCAGTATTTATCAACAATTAACACTTGAACTGTGCATTTAACGTCATCTGTTTGGTAAGATGCTGCTAAATCAGTAGCCAGTGAGCTCACCTGTCCGTTCCCTGTTTCAATCTGTTGTGTCCTACAAGCTTATTATTTTATAATGTCCCAAACACTTGCTGAAATTAATTGTTTTCATCTGGTAATATTGCCCACAACACTGGAGAGGAAATCTTCCGCGCTGTTCACAGCCATGCTGCTACTGTTAAACGCTAACAAAATAAAACGTATGCAAGTAGGGAGTAGCATAGATCATCTTTGGGCAGATTATCAAAAATAGAGCGCGTCCAGATCGTTTCAAAAGCTAACACATTATCTCAAGGATTCTGAGGATTGGATGACAATCCTCAGAACTTCCTGACAGTTTTGTGGGAATATCTACAGTTATAAATTAACATCCAACTTTGTTTTGGTACACATCTACATATATTCAAGCTTTAACATACCTTGAGTGAAATAAACCGGGCATTATCATGAAACTCTGGCTCCCATGATTCGGATGGATTATCAAGCAGTTTACCTTTGGCGTGCTTCATCAGCTGGAACCTATTAACTTTCACGTTAATGTCCGCCCGTTTATTTGTGCGCTGCTGCACACGACTCTGACTGACACTGATTATATTTTATTTCACCGCTATGTAGCGCGAGCTGTTGTCAACTGAAAGCAGTAGCAGTTTGCGCGTTGCGCCGCCATTTGTTTGCTCCCCACCCCAGGGACAGGGGTTGTGGAGTTGGCGCGCGTGCCGTTATGTAACATGCATATGAACCTGTGAACGTAATCTGCCCAGCAACAGTTACAGTAGCGGGAAAGCTGCGCGCAACCACTTAGATAAGCTATTATTCTCCTGTAGCACTATGCCTATTGGTCTCCTGTCTCATTTCCCCACAGAAATGTATAGTAGAATTGGTACTACCAAAGAAGTAGTGCTGAGCTACACAAGTAGCGGGAGGTATTGCACAGACCGCAGCATAAAGAGCCCCTGCTGCTAGTGGGGATGCTATGCATAGTAAGCCTAACTTCCTGAGCCTCATCATGTCTAACAAACAAAGGGAGGGTGGACAAATGGTAAAACACTGTCTGGAGCAGATAGTTGTGTCACAGATTTTCTGTTCCATTATATCTAATGAAGTAGATTGATGCTAGGAAGCTATAGCTAGCTAGCTACTCGAAGCTATATTCGGTTGAAAATCTCTTGTAGGCTTAAAATCTCTTTGTTTACTGCATTACCTGCCTTCAACTGCTTTACCAGAACACATTTTCAAACTCCATCATCAACATCTTACCTTATTTTTAAACATTGCTGGTGTGAAGGTCCATGGAAATGAGGCAAGTCCTTGTCATCCTCCACTTTAAAATGGTGAAGCTGGCACAGACGAGGGGGAGGATCTTTCTTTTTACCGCCCCTTTTAACCCAACATGCTGGGTCAAAATGTTTGACCCAATGTTGTATTAAATTGACCCAACTGCTTAAAAATCAGCCTTAACCCAGCAGTTGGGTTAGCAAAATAACCCAGCATTTTTAAGAGTGTAGTTTAATTACAGTTTGATTTATTTGACATCTGTATAATGTTTATTATTTTGTTTTTTCCCCCTAAATACCTAACGTTTGAGTTTAACATGAATATCAGTCATTCATCCCAATACATGAAGTTACACATTTTAAATTTTAATAGGGGAAGACTGCAGGAGGGAGCGGTAAAATCATAGACTGTACATACTTGCTACCCGCCGGCTGTGATCACAAGCGACAACATATTAGTTCCCGCTGCTTCTTCTGTAAACAGCGCAAACAAAAACAAAGAAACTTGGGATCTTGTCGGCGTGGCGGTGGGATTTAAGGGAAACGCTGTATGCCCTATAGACTTCTCACCGAGCTGCAGTATTTCTCCGGTCAGATCTGTCTCTGAGAGCTCCACGAGCGGTCAGCCCGCGCAGAAACTAGCCGCCCCACCGGTCAGGCTGCCTGGCCTGACCGCTGGGGATTACCGGATGGAAGAATGGACACAGGTGTCACTCCAAGCCTGCTGGAGATTTTAAGGGTTCAGATGAAAACACCCTACCACTCAGGCTGCTTACACATCGATATTAAGTTGTCGCTGTTGCGCTCACGCCGTAATACAGTATTAGATGCGGTTAAAGTCAGACATGAAAAACTCCACGAGCGGTCAGACCGCGCAGCAGCTAGGCGCAGCAAGTAGGCGCCGGATCGTCCAGGCTGCCCGGCCTGACCGCTGGGGATTACCGGGTGGAAGAATGGACACAGAAGTCTCCCTCTTTGCGCTCCGTCATATTTCAACCCATTTTGATCTTTTACCATATTACCCATCTAAATATGCCCTATTAATTATTTTACCGTATTTTACATTTAAATTTCATGGTTAAACAGTACATGCTACATGTTAAACTGATAGTTAGCTAGCTACTTCGGTAAACTCAGCTAGTTTAAAGGTGGCAGTGACATAAAATACGAATATAGATTTTAACTTACCGAAAAAAATGAAGTGGAGACTCCTTGGACGCTCTATTAGTGCAATTAATACCACAGCAAGTCATTTTGTCCAACAATTGCACCAATAATATCCAAAACAGAATTCACAAGCACAGAGACTCAAAATCCCGAAACAGCTTCCAGGAGGGGCCGAGGCTGTACTGAGGCCTTTCCACGGAGCTAGCTCTGTGGTCACGTGGGTCTGAGGCGGCGGTCACGTGTGTCGGATGCTCATACAGAATTTTAGGCTTTCAATACAGAAGAGTGAGAAAAAAATTCACCCCCCTCAGAGTTGTCATGAGTATAAACTAGATAATTTAGACAAAAAACATGTTTTGGCACCAGGCTGTAAACATGTTTATTTCTGCTGTGAAATCGGCATTTTTAACATGGGAGTCAAAGAGGATTTGCTCGCTTCTGGCACCAGCCCCCAGCGGATGAGGGTGGAACTGCAATTTTTCTTACTTCCGGGATGGGACCATTTTTAGAGCGGCATTGTGGGGGCTCTCAATTCAGGGTCTGCATCCTTCGATGGACGCAGCCCACTCGGCCGACGTGGGCTGCGTCCTCCGTCGGCCGGGTAGACCGGATGTTAACGGCTGTGAATTTGGACAGGCCTAGCCTTCATGAACTCCCTCCGCGAACGTTCCGTCGCCTAGCAACCGTGGAACCGCTGGGCAGAAGGGAGAAGGAACTTTAAACGATGGAGCTTGACGTTTTATTTAGCTTTTTAACCCCCAGAGACCCAAATTTAGAAAACAACTGCAAAATCTTTATTTAACCTTTCACATGTTGTTCTAGGCCAGATAAACGGGCCTATTTACACATTTTAACAGTCAATAGTGTTGCAGAACTGAACAATAGGACCTATTAGCAATGTAAATGTAGTTTTAAAAAGAAAAAATGGGGAAGGTTTATTCTTGTAGACTTAAATCTGATGTTGTAATGTTACAACCGTGGGTCTCTGGGGGTTAATCATTTCCTTGACTGTTGGAGAACTAATTCAGAGAAAATACTTTAGACAAGCTGAGCCTGAGCAAAGATGTGATAATAGTTTTTAATACTTTCTAAGGGTCTTAATTTGACCAAAACCCATTTATCAACTTTTAAGACTTTAAGACCCAGCGGATACCCTGTAATATTGAACAATTCTCATTTGTAAACAAAAATAAAATTCAAGAGTTTAATGCAAAACTGATTTTATTTAGATATTTCTTTTATATGTACATGTTTAATCTTTATTAACCATTTTTTTCTAGCAAAGTAAAAAGCTGTCAAAGTTATTCCTTCTCTCCTGGGCCCTCTGCCTCCCTCTGCAGCCTCATGTTCTCCCTGATCAGATCCAGAAGCTGGTCATCGCTGGCACCTTCCCCTGGATGCCCATTTTCTCCAGAATAGTCTTAACAAACATGTAAGAAAAGAAACAGGAAGAGAAAAGAGGACAACGGGTTATTCCTTTCATGTTTTCGCAGAAAAAATAAACTCAAACGAGTTTTTAAAATATGAGATGTTATTGTACCTCCATGCCACAGCCGCCGAATACTTTGCTCCGGTGATCATGTGGTCCATCTCCGCCCTAAGCTTAATAAATTCCCTGGTTTTCTCTTTTGTTCCTAAAATACAAACTTCTATTAAAATCAGGGGGAAAACGTAGCGGGAGAAATACGACACCGAGCGCGGCCGAACATACGAGCCGAGACCGCAATACAAGCACTTTTACTGTAACATTTCTAACTAAAATAACGTTCATGTATCACAAAAAGTCATTAACCTAACAGTTTTCAAGTTTATACTGACATTTATATGCGCAATCCTCTCCGACAGCTCCCGCTTCACTGTCCGCCATTGTTTTTAAGTTTTAATGCTGGCCGGCCCGCAAGGCATCTTGGGAAATGCTACCTGTTGAAGGATACACCGGACCCATCCTTCATTCAGGCGAAAAGAAGGCTGCATTCGTCGACCGCATTTGAAGGAGTCTTCGAATTGGGACAGGCCTAGTCGCGGCGCTGTGACGTAACCGGCCGACGAATCCGGCCGACGTAGGATGCAGACCCTGAATTGAGACACAGCCACTAAGCTAATCAGGCAGCATCACGTGGGTCTTCAGCGTTTGTGAGATCATACAGGTGACTCCAATTCCTTTACAAACCTTAAGGAATCACGTGGTAATCTCAGATTGTTTCATGGATTTTTTTACCTTAAACAACGGAATGACTGCTGGTTCCATGTACACGTTACTATAAAGCATTATTACCTTGTAGATTATTAGAATAAACAAAATTAATTTTGCTTTTTTAATTAGATCTTATAACTTCCTCGTGAGCATAAAGTGGGTGTAAAAATTAAAGTGGGTTGTTTAGGCTAATAAAATGTGCATTTGTTTATTCAACATAAGCCTGACAAAGCAGGTATGAAAATGTCAGTTATTGTTATTTTAATTATTCTGATTTTGTTAACAAGTCCCTTGGTCAGACATTTATTTACTGTAGAGTTTACTACTGATAACCTCAAATAGGCCCGGAGTGGCTAATCGGGGTCTGGACCGCAAGGCGCGGTGTTGTTTTTGTTTGTTTGTGTGTTTGTTTGTTTGTTTGTTTTGGACCGGTGCTCAGTCGTCATGCCACTGGGCTGATCCCTAAGACTGCCTACCTGCTGAAAGGGCCTCTCATGTCAGGTACAAAAACAAAAACATATTTTTTATAACTCGTCAGTTCTTGTCTTCTTCTCTTTTTCTGTTGGGGTTAGGGTTCAGTCATGGCTTTGATCAGACCGCGCTGTCCCCGGGCCGCCTCTGCCTTTTTTCTGCAGGCGCTTCCAGACAGAACACTTCAGGTGACTCTGGGTGGGAGAAGCAGGACTCAGGAGGAAAACTCTAGAAACAGACGCCACTAAATGTGCAAAATGGGCATTTTTCACTAAAACGTGCTATTTCCGGAGTCAGCAGCAAGACCCAGCAGCATCAGCAGGTAGGATCACTCACTCACTGAGGGAATATTATGAGAATGAATAATGGAAAGGATTACAAAGACCTGCTCTATTAAAGAGGTCCAGATGTTGGCTCTGTCCGGTTCGGTCCGGACCTCACGGTAAAGCCAGGGGGGCAGACTCTCCCACCAGATCCACGGTGCAATTCAACCTGACAACAGTTATCTTTATTTTCATTTACATGAATGATCATGAGGAATCATCTGGACAAATGTGAAAGAAAAAAATCTGTAGAGAAGGAAAATGGAAAGTGTAGGAGAAAACGAGGATGTACTTCTTTAGTAAATGTTCACTGATGAGTTTTCGTGTTTGGGAAATTACAAGTGAGGTCAATCACAAGTTGTGTTTTCATAAAATAGTGTTTCCATCTGAAAATAAGTCAGGGTTTTATTTTAACTTTATTTCTCAGTGTTGCAGCTGGATGCTCTTCTGCGCACCTCTAACAGGTTACCAGACATTTGAGATTATTTTCTAGTTATTCAATTAAATTATAATTGTATAATGAATATTTTTCTAAAGCAAAGTTTTAATAAGTTATTAAATCAGACACATCAATGCCATAGACACAATCTCTGTCACACCACTGCATCTTTCGGATCATTACTTCATCCATTTCAGCACGACTCTACAAGGGAGGTCCACTGCTTCCTCCCCAATGGTCTCATTCCGCCGCAACCTCCGCAATCTGGCACCCAACTACTTCTCCTCTCTTGTTGCCTCCACTCTTCCATCTCCCAGCACATTCTCTGCTTATGAAGTGAATGAAGCCACCTAGTCACTCTGCTCCACACTCTGCTCTTGTCTTAACAACTTGTGCCCTTTAGCCACTAGACCTGCTAGATCCTCTCAGTCGCACTCTTGGCTAAATGATACCCTCCGGTCTCTACGCACCAATCTTAGAGCTGCGGAACGGAAATGGCGCAAAACAAAAGATCCTGGTCATCAATTGAAATTTCAGGAATTACTGTCCTCATTCTCTGCCAGCATCACTGATGCAAAGAAAGCTTTCTACACTGACAAAATTCTCAGCTCTATTGACTCAGAAACTTTTTTCAACATTCAAAACTCTGCTCAACCCTCCATCTCCACCTCCTACCAACATTCTATCAGCTGATACCTTTGCCTCATTTTTCACTGACAAAGTGGCAGCTATAAGCAAACAGTTTACTCAACTGGACACTCCTGAACATTCGCAACCACAAACTCCTTCTAGCCCAACCATCTCAGGCCCTACTGCTTCATTTTCCTCTTTTTCCCCTCTCACTGAGAATTGTGTGTCCAAGCTTCTCACGTGCAGCCGCCCTACTACATGCCCACTTGACCCCATTCCAACTAAGCTGCTCCAAGCTATTGCTCCTACAGTAGCCGCAGCAGTCAAACGTGATCAACACTTCACTGACATCCGGTACATTTCCCACCTCTCTCAAGCATGCTCAGGTTAAACCGCTGCCAAAAAAACATCTCTTCCTCCAAATCACTTGGAGAACTACCGACCTATCTCTCTCCTCCCTTTTCTGTCCAAAATCATTGAAAGGGTGGCTTTCAAGCAGATCACAGAATACCTCTCACAAAACTGTCTGCTTGACCCTTACCAGTCTGGGTTCAAACAGGGCCACTCCACTGAAACCGCTCTGTTAGCAGTGACTGAATCCTTAAAAGAAGCTAGAGGGACAGGCAAATCCTCAGTGTTTATCCTGCTCGACTTATCGGCTGCATTTGACACTGTCAACCATGGCTTCCTTTTGTCCACACTCTCTAGCATGGGCATCACAGAGTAAGCACATGCCTGGTTTGAATCGTACCTCACAGGACGATCATTCAGTGTATCTTGGCTTGGACAATCCTCTACCATGCACCATCTTGCCACAGGAGCCCCCCAGGGCTCTGTACTAGGACCTCTTCTCTTTGCCACATACACCACCTCACTGGGTGAGATCATTCGATCACATGGCTTCTCCTACCACTGCTATGCAGACGACACCCTGGTCTATCTGTCATTTCCACCGGACGACCACACTGTCTCTGCATGAGTGTCAAACCGTCTCTCTGACATAACAAAATGGATGAAATCCCACCATCTCCAACTCAACCTCTCTAAAACTGAACTACTTGTCATCCCAGCAAAACCATCCATACAGCATAATATCGCAACCAAAATGACTTCCTATTAGAGCCCTGCACGGGCCTAAAATCTGAGCCCGTGTCCGGCCCGGCCCGAGGGGGTGGAGCCCCAGCCCGACCCG